AGATGATGAACGCCTGCAGAACGAAAGAGAGAGAGAGAGAGAGAGAGGGGTTTATAATTAGCTAGGGTCGGTCCGGGTAAGGTTGGTTTGTAGAATGTTCAAATGAGAGGAATATATATAAGTAAAAAGTTGGTTGGTTTAGAGTCTTTCTTATGAGGAAGAAAGTTCATTAAACTATCAGAGAGAAATTGGTGATTTTGAAAATGACAGTGAGTTTGTTTGGATAAGAGTTTATTTGGATGATTTATTTGAGATATTTACTGTAGCACTTTTTGTGATGTGATGTATATGAGATAAAAAGGTGATTGAAAAGATAAAAAGGTGATTGGGATCTGTGAAAATAAATTTTGCAAACCAAATTTGACTTGTCCAAACAAACTCAGTGATGTTGGCCAAAGGTTGCGTCTATGGCCGCCTTTGGCTTTTTCCTCTTTTACATTTTCCCCTCAATAACTACTCTCCCAGCCCCAGTCGCCTAGTCTCATCGGACTTTTCAAGTTAGGGATTTAATTCCACTTCCAATGCCCGCAGCCTGGTCCAAGAAACAGAAGCAAACACATGGTAAATGATGCACATATATATATATATATATATATATATATATATATATATATCTGTGGCGTGCCTGACAATTCAAACAAATTAGGGAGCTTAAAATTGCTCAATCAAAACATTTTTTCTGAAATAAATGAAGATGGGGTATAAAGCTTGTGAGATTCAACATCCTGTCGCCATTTCTTGCTGTTGACACAGAGATGCCAAATTCAATGTTAAAACAAATTCAAACAAGAAGTTATGTTCCTTCAATTTGGTTACTTGACATCGAGTAATTGTTCAACAACTCATGCATGTTTTAGATTTATTCAGTGACCCCTGAACACCAGTAAAAGCTAGAGATATAATAGTTACACTGCAAAGTGAGCATTAGATACAGGGCTAGTCAAACGGAGCCTCGCGGAGGTATCTACAGGCTTACTTTTGCGCCCCTTTTGAGAAAATGAACAACAAGACCGCCAGGAAAAAGAACGGGGGAGAAGAAAAACCTGGCAAATGGATGATCACCCAAGGAGGGTATGTCAAAATCGTGTTGCGGAACACATTTCCATTTGACCATTTGCCTTGGTACAGCCTGGAGGAAATACCTGGATTTTGAACCAAGCACGATCTGGGCTGTGATTGGCAAACAATTTATTTATATAAAAAAAAAAACCCCCCTCTTAAGATTCGATTCATAGAAAAATTGGTCATGGATAAAAGCAGAGCTACGCATGTGTAGTATCATGATGGATAAAAGCAAAGCTAACCTTGGGTTTGACTCGTACCAACTTATGTTGGTTTGGTTTAATCTTTCTTTCCCCTGGCCTGAATTAGCTGGCACTCAGATGCAAAATAATAGTTTAGTAATATGATGTTGGTGATAACGGAGAAAATATTTTAGTAATTAAAGTCCACATGAACGTGAAGCTTAATTGATCTCTCTGAAACAATTAAAACATGCTGTCTAAGCTTGTTTAGTGAAACAATTAAAGGCAACTTCACCTAACACCGATCTTGAAAGTGTTTATTCGAATAGACATTCCTTGTTCAAGGCACTACAATTAAGCCATAATTGTAGATCTGAGTAAATCGGATTGACTAGAGAATCATATTGTCAATACTTGTACGCAACCTGGATAAATTACTCTCTGTTTGCTAGTTCTGCGTTCATTGTCAACCTTTAATTTTTTTTAGTTTTCTTACATGACCGTTGAAATTAATCTACCACAGCCTACGTAAGTATAAAAACTTGGAATGCTACTAACCCAAGAAAAAAAAAAAGGAATAATGTGGCAGGCACGTACATTATTAGATGAAGTCGAAAGAAAGTATAGATGCTAATATAACAAACACATAAACACTAATATAATAAATACAGACATTAATACATTGAAATATAAAACACAACAAATTTTTTTGACACATACTTGCGTTCTACATTTGATCTCCTCTATCTAGTTTCACCATCAATCCTCCTTCGAGTTAAGAGACCTCTCTACTAAAGTGAAATCCGCAGCCAAAAGGTAGTGCTCCTTTGAAAGAGAAATGTGACGAGTGGAGCAAGTTCCAGCGATGGGCTGTCTTCCCGACCTTATTTCCGTCTTTTTTATCGAGTGCTTTATTGAATTGAGGTTTATAAATGGAGTTAAAAAAAAAAGAATATATTGCTACTAGCTGTCGATTCCATTTCCGTGGCTCGATTGCATCCTGCGGTCATATCTGTGATTGCAGACGAATAATATGCATGTGAATTGGCGTACACGAGTGACCAAGCGCTTTATAGATTGGGTTGCTATCTCTGGGCTTCCTTTGTGGATCCAATCTTCGACATTCGGCCGCATGGGATGAATTTGTTGTTGCCCAATACTGTAGGGATCCAAGCTGTTACTGGTCGGGATCGGGAGTGGAAGTTCTAATATGTATCTAAAGAACAAAATGCACCTGAGTGTGTGTTTATCTGGGAATCACTGGCCAGGTCCAGTTTTAGCTGTTATCTAAGAAATTATCTCCTCCCATGCCTAGGTTTTCCCAACGAGGGTTTTATTTTTAGCCATCTGAAATAAAACAAGCAGGCACAATAAATAAACATAAGGTGGAAGCTAAAATCCAATCCTGTAATGAAAAAAAGGCCTTTATTAGGCACAACAAGTCGTTTCCTGAAACAGTAGTATAAAATGTATCGTTGATTGGATAAGGTTGCAATTGGAAATACATATTAAAAATTTGGAACATCAATTCCTCGGAAAAAGACAAAGGAAACTGAGGATCCCATGGGCCGAGTGAGATTGAAAATGCAGCATATTTATTTCGAAATATGCACATGCTCTAGCAATTAAAATCTCAATCTTCAATTAGGAGTCACATTTCTGCCAGATAGACGTGATGTCTTTAGACGTCCGGCGATGGACTGTAATGACCTCTACGTATCATCATATGCTAACAGCCTTGTCCTACAACGAAAACGAAAACGAAAACGAAATCAAAGCTATTAATTGACAATGAGATTTCAAACTTTTAATTATCGATTTTTTTCCACCCCCATTTATAGATTACAATTATAAATTATTGCCCTGATCAGATCAAAATTATAAGTTTTGCAGTACAAAAAAAAATTTTTTTTTTTTGGAGGAGGTAAACCTCAGTTCTTTGGCTAAGGCTTGTAACGTCGGGGATGATAAGACATCAAAGAGTTCAAGAAGGGACTAGATTAGTACGATAAACAAAAAGAGTCCAGAGAAAAACACATGCATGAAAATCTATATGCTAGATTTATCTGCGAGTGTGATTAATAGCAACTTTTTTTTCTTTTTTTTTTTTCGAAACGACACATTTAATATAATCTAATCTCTAGATTTATCTGCGAGTGTGATTAATAGCAACTTTTTTTTCTTTTTTTTTTTTTCCGAAAACGACACATTTAATATAATCTAATCTACTTCTACTTTAGTTTTCTAAGGGTTGACCCAACTGAATTGAGAGAATCGATGGGAAGTAGATCACCATAAAAAAAATGACAACTTCAATTGGAGAATAGCTAATCGGTTATGTTTTATATAGATCGATTTATGAAAGTAAGTTGTTCAATGACCCTATAAAACTTTACTTGAATAGGTTTTTGGTGAGGGCGGGGGAGAGGGGGTTGGATGGAGGTGTACAGTACGTCCCTCCTGTCACACAATAATTGATTTCGAATATAGGCTTTGTTTTTATTTCTGTAGGGATGGAATAATGCTGAGGCGGACGAGGGGAGGGGAAGAGGAGCTTGCGTGTAATTGTGGTGGTTTCAACTTTCATTCATGATGTAATACCCAAATGGGAATCTGGATTCAGGTCCATTATCGATAAGGATGTTTGTTGGTACTACGTGGAACCCAGCTCCACTAGATTTTTCTCATTCAGTTTCAGATTGGGAACCAATTCCTTCGAGACAGACTGTACATACGGTAAAGTGAAAGTGGCAGTGGCAGCAGCATCACCCGAATTATTTATCAAATGATGCTGACGATGCTAAGACCAGATAAATACTGCGCATAAAAAGCCCGACTTGCTTTGTCCTGAAGCAGTCCCAAACCCCACCTATAATTACCACCAACCCCAATCTTCATGGTTTCACAGGAATCCATTATCCAGCATCTTTTGTCTATTCTCTAACACTTGACCAGCTGTGGCGTGTTAATTGTCTGATACGGCAATTAAGAATTTAAGAACTGCTGCTTATTTGTTAATTAAGCAGCTGGTTTTTCTTCTTTCTTTTCTTGAGTTGGATAAATTATTAGCAAGCCGCTAGCTAAACCGAATATAACAGCTTATCCCGTTAATAATTGAGAGTCATTAGCCAGCAACTTCGACATCTAACCTGGCCAAAATCAAATCTGTGTTGCAAGGAGATAACCTATTTGCAGTTAGACTTCCAAAACCAAGCAAGCTATGTTCCAATTTGGCAGATCGATGATAACCGAATGTGCATGAAGATTTTCTATTCTAGGTTCACAGCTATGCTTTACGCGATGATCCTCTCAACATTTTCGGAAGAATATATGTTGTCCATTCCATTTCCTTCTCTAAAAGTTCTCTTCCCTCACCTGTCAAAGACTCAAATCTTGATTTTGTCGCTTGTAGACTTAGTCGATTTTTCCAGGCCAATTTTTCTGCTGGTTTCCTTTTCTTTCCTTTTTTTTTTTTTTTTAAATAAATTTTCTTTGTTGCTTTTGTAGTGTAGGAGTAATAATTTTCACTACAAAAGACATGCTTTTATAGATGTGCCACTGGCGTCTGAAGCGACCGTCTTGCAACTAAAGATGTCCCGGCAGTGAACTCAGACGAGTCGAGAGAAGAAGGAAGGAAGGGGAAGGAAAAAAAAAAAAAAGGAAGCCTGGAGAGAATAATAACGATATGCTGCCTGCACCTGCATAATTGACAATTGACTCGATCGTAGCATCAAAATCAGACACAGCTTGTTATCGGAAACACAACCCCTGAGTCGTGCCAAGTACCACCTACACCTACAGAAGCATGCATTTTGTTTTCCCTTTTCTTGTTAAGACAAAACAATATAATTACTTGTACTATATCCATTAATAGCGTTAAAAAAAAAAAAAAAAACTGGAGGCAGATTCGAGATTCCATTCCACCTTATGAAATCATTAACGTCATTATCGAAGGATTTAATTAACCATAATTAAGTTGAGTAAGTGGTTAGTCCCTGTCATTTGTTTCCTAGTAATGCCACTCGTGATCATGGTGCGTGTAAGAAGAAAGAATAATTGCTCACGGAAACACATACGGGTTGTGTTTGTTGCAATGGAACACGAAAGCAACTAAGCAGTGACTTTTGACTTTTCACACACAAATTTATAATTTTTTGCAATAACAACAACAATAGTAACGAATAGTAGTAGTACAATTAATTAGTGTGTGTGCGCGCGCGCGCTTAAGTTATCTCCTGATCCAATGGACCAAACGATATCTATTTAATCATATAGTATACTACTACTGATTAATGCGGGTAGCTAGGTCAGTGACTCATCTAAATCAATTTGAAATTTTGCTATCCCCACCCCACCCTTCTGGCTTCTGCTGCCACTTTCAATATTTTTTGTTTGTTTGTTTTACTATTACCACTAGATAAGAAAGACGCACCCCGCACATCCAGCCAAGGGAAATTGTCAATTATTGGTACCGCTCATAACTCATCATGTTCGTGAGAGATGGAGAGGTAGAGATATCATGGTATATTTGGCAGTACTTAATTCCTTCAGAAAGAGAAAGGAAAAGGAAAAGAAAATTAAACAATTGGATATTCAGCTTACAATTGGATCAGCTTGAACAATAATATTATTCAATTGGTCCCGATACGAACAAAATAGTACTTACCATGATAACGCAACTAGACCATATTTATATTTAAAACAAACAAAAAGATGCTACTACTTTGATAGTTTCCCAGATGATATTAATTACAGTACTACTGTCATCCTGTCACAAAAAAGATAAGAATTACTACTAGCTGTCATTAGCAAAATAAAACAAAACATAGATATCATTTTTCGGCCTTTGATCTTCAATATTACTTTGTTTTGGGCCTCTGAGACAGATTATTGAGTAGGTTTCTCAAATCGCATCATCTATTTTTATAGAATATATACTACAAATGATACCATCTTGGGTTTCTTAAGTGAGCACCTTGAATTTTCTGATTAGTATGACCTTTCTTTCATTTTTCTGGCCAATAGTTCTGATAAGAATAGTAATAAAAGTATAAAACTGGTTCACCTAGGTTTCGTCGTATCACTCCATACCCTCGATCTTCTTCTTTTTTTTTTTTTTACAAATTATTTTTTCTGAGATACGGATAAAAGATGGGACCAAAGAAACAGTGCGAGGCCGTGGCTCAGCCTTTTAGCAAACCCAAAAGGACCCACAAAGCCATATTGCTGCACCTCCTTGCACCGGCAACGCGTGCTAAAATGTCCCCTTCCTCCTCTCTTTCCTAGCCTAGGTTTTCAAATATTCTTTCAATCCCATCACTTCAGTTTGCAATTATGCGGCCCAAGATTTTCAGACCACCCGCAATTTTAATTCACATACCACATAGTCTAGAAATATCATGGATTAGGTAGTACCCTCATCAGCGCATTTTTCATGATATGTTCAATCAGCAATTAGTGTTGAGTCTGTTACTGTCACAAAAGTTTCATTTCATCGGAGACAATTAATTAATGCATCCCCTTGAGCCTTCTTTTTTCTTTTTTTTTTTTGCCACGCCCATAACTGAATATGCGTTCTACACAACAGATTAATTATTTTCGACGGTTTGTACAGCTGTGTGCATGCATGCATGTAGATCCATCTTTTACTATCTTGAATTATCTATTTCCAATCCATCTCGTCTGTACAACAGCAAAAGAACAGGAACATAACCAACTCGCAAAGGTCTATGATCCATGGACTTCCAAAGCATGCACATGCCGTCATAAGTTAAGTATGCCCCAAGTATGAGACGCTAAGGTCGATTAAGCCATAAGAAAGCCGATTTTAAAGAGTGCATCCACATGGTGTCTTTAATGGCCATCACACCAGAAATGAATCTTCCAAACGAGTTGGCTGGCTCTGTCTCTGGCACCTCCGATAATATTCCACACCACACTTACGTTAAACAACCAACCAACTGTGGCTGGAGCAGTAGTTGGCCACTAAAAAAATTCAAGCTTTCCTGAAGATTTCTTCAACCGTTTGTTTGCGTGTCCGTTTGAGCCGGCGATTGTTTAGTTCCCTTCAGATTCTTATTGGATCTCTTCTTCAGATTCTCCTTTTCCTAATATAAAGCAAGAATAGATTGTATATCCGGAAAAAAAAAAAAAAACTTACATTAAACAAATTAAAGACGTCATTTATACTCATCGCCTTCATTACAGTACAATATATAACTGATCAAGTTTTAAGCTCATGTAGTTTTAGTTTTACAGATTCCTTCATTCTCATAAGTTGAAATTTTGGACTTTTCCAAGAAGTACCCGGTTAACGTACGTACGGTCAAGACGTACGTGTCGGCGGGCCAGGTAATGAAAGTAGTGCTAGCATATAAAACAACTGTTACAACTACAGCATATAGACTTGTAAGCTTGGGGTGCATCATGTGATTTACCTTTGCAGGCTAAGCTGTGATTTTGAAGCGTTGTCCCATGGTACTGGTCTAAACGTAACTAAGGCCTTGTGATCAGCAACAACTGCACACATGGGATCGTATTAGTATTTAATGGGTATTAAATATGGGCGCACTGCTGGACTTGTCTGGGGGCATCTCTTTCACAAAACTCGAATCACATTGGCTGAGGCACTGGGATTTGTTTGGCATGCCTCGAACCCCAAGTGCAACAAACAACGCTTTGATTTCTGTGTGTAAAAGAGAATCTTAAATTCTTCCACAATCATTTTTTTATTCTATCTTCTACAGTATATACTTATAGAATGCTCGATGGAAGGTGTTGCTACATCAAACAAAGTTTGAAGCCTGAAGCCGTGTTGTCAGCAACAGCAACAGCAACACCAACGCAACTCCCGTCTTTTCTTCAAGTTCCTTACAAGATCTTCCTTGTTTTACAATCACCAAATTTTGATCTTCGTCTCTTCGGCTCATGACTCTGCGAGACATGTATTAATTTCTAAGGTAAGAAGTTCTCTTCCCATCTTTACCAGCTTCCCCGAGTGCGACAGTACTGGTTACTGTATGTGGTTTCTGGTTGACTTGATGAGCAAGAAGGAAAAGAATTCTTCATCTTTCTCGAATGTTGGCGTCCGTATTCACTAGGACGTGACAAAAAGGTAAATAAACCTGAAGCTACAAAAGTTCTGGCAATTCTAGCATGTAACTAGGAAATTGTGCAAGAGAACAAGAAATCTTATTGGCATGAAAAATATGAGGTCTAAGTGGAAATCTTTTGTTTCAGTACACTTTTTAAGTACACATTGCATCAGCTATGGTACATGATCAGTGAAATTAAATCACACCAATAAAATTCGAATTTTAATCTAACAAAAAAATGCAGCTTCTTTTTCAGATAAATTTCTCGGTACAAAATGCGTCAAGGCACTTTCTCAATGCGAATGATGACTGTACAATGTTGTGAGTCTTGATATATGTATATACCATCATTAAGATGTCCCAGTCCCAGTCCCAGTCCCTGTGGCAGTCTGGCAGTGCTAACTTACTGTTGCAAAGAAGGAAAAAGCAATCGGTTTACACTGAGAAGATCTAGATTTATTCAGTCACCAAGATTGTGTTTCAAATTCGTATGAAATATGCTCTCTCTACTGATCCTATACGGAAACTTTTCATGAATCTTATGCCGTTTTCTGCATTTTTTTTTTACAGGTCAAATTGTGAGAAGAATGTGTTTTAGCTAGACACAAGATCCAGTTCCAGTTTCAGCACAAGTGACCTTGTAGGGTTTCTCCACCAGTCAAAGATAGCCTAAAAAGGAGTATACAAAGTCATCTGATCATCTTGAATGGAGAAGCTTCTTAATCCGTACGATAAGGAATATATGAAGACGGCCATGTTGAAGCATGAGGAAACATTTAGAGAGCAGGTCGGTTGACTATATATACTGACTAGTTTCCGTTGATTTTGAGTTTCCTTGGCTTTAAAAGGTTTCAGTTCCCGAGATTCATGGTATTGGTTGTGCAGGTTTATGAACTACACCGTCTATATCAAATTCAAAAGCTGCTAATGAAGAAGATTGCAAGCAGCCAGAAACACGGCCAAGATTCAGATACACGGAATCTCAAGATTGTTAGTATATCAAATCAGACAAATGATCATCATGCAGATGTAGAGAAAAGGCCGCGACTGGGCCTTGATTTGGAACTTCCCGTTGACGATTACTTTCAGGGAATCGAACGGAATGGGACGGCAGGAATTGATGATGAAAGTGAGCTGGAGCTGACATTAGGCATTGGCCCGTCGAGTAACTGTGGAAGGAGAAAATCTTTGGAGATGTCAATCCCTTCAGATTCTGCAGCGAGTTTTTCTTCTTCCTCCACAGGATCCAGCAATATAAAGAGGACAAATTCAGGTCTAATTAATCATCAGAGGACAAATGCAATTCGAGAAGAATTTATTGGAAGGAAATGGGGATTAGAGCTGCCCGGTTCCAATCCTAGTTTATTAGGTTCAAGGAAGAAAAGTTCTGACATTGAGGAGCAATTGAGACAAGACAGACATAGTAATCCTCCTTGGCTTTTACAAGCTTTGAGTCTTAACACGAGTTGAAAAATCATCTAGAGTCGGTATGAAAATATTTTAGACTGATTCTTATCGGCTGATTATGGTGATAGTTTGATAAAATTTCAACTCAGTTTTAAATCCTGCTTGTAGATTTAATTGTCCTTCCTCATCTGGAATAGTACGTCTGGTCTGTATGTAGCATGCTAATACTCGGCATCCTGTTCTTTTTCCAGTCAAGTCCACGCCTCATTAACATCGGCAGCCCAGCCGTAACTCACTGAGGTATAATTAAGCCTTGTTTGGTTTAACGGACAGGACGTCCTAAAGAAGTCCCCAAAAATATCTGTATGGGAATCTTAAGAGTCCACAACACACCACCGTCCCGTCCCACATGCGAAACCAATCCATGACATGAATAGTCCAATAGTTGCTGGGCGTGCCTAAATTTCTGCTGGTACTTGAAAAGACATTTGGTGTTTGAGGGTGTCGCGTCACTCGCAAATATGACACTGCATCATCATTTGTATTTTTCAAGGAATCAGCTTTTCGCCCGATTGAACCCTTCTTTTTCTCTTCTCATTCGGAGGATTTTCCCTGCATTTCCCATCCTCTCCCAGCGTAAGGTTGTGTTTGGATTGCATTTTTCGTCATTTTTCATGAAAAAATTACTGTAGCGATTTAATATATGTGAGGGAAAAAAGTGATAGGAAAATGTGATCACGAAAAATGACAATATTTTTCGACGAAAACAAGCAAACCAAACAAGGCCTATAAGTATTCTTTTTTTTTTTACCAAGCAAGTTAACAGACTTTTTGGTAATAAACTAACCGAAATCCCGAGGAAATCACGAAAGCCGGCAACTCTTGTGGTTCCTCAGGAGACTAATATACTACCCCAAACCCCCCTAACAACCCCGATGTGGGACTGAACCCCGATGTGAGACTAATATAAGTATTCTTTAGAACATCAAAAAGTTGGAAGAGTGTAAATTTTGATCATACGACATCTGACTTTCCCACCCCGCAGGCCACACAGCCTGCTGTACTTGATTAGGTTGTGCTCGATCGGCCTATTTTTTCCTGAAAGGACGCTCGGGCGTCCACATCAATTGGCCTTAGATTCCGACTTCAGCTATCCAAGGCCTCCCATAGGCCATAACACCAATTTCACGGGCACAAGGAATCTGGGGTAGTATTATTTTGGGACAATGAACGGGAGGAGGACATCTGCATGAGTTGAATTGGATCACATACTTGGCTGCTGGGGGCTTTCAATGAAAAGTAGAGACAGATTTTCCGCAATATACTACTCAAAGAAGATATGAGGAATCTGATCTAAACGAACTTGCTTTTTGAGTTTTGACAAAAGAAATTTTGAGACACCGTTGGTGATTCAATACTTTCGTTTCTAGCTTGTATTCTATTTTATGTTCTTTGGTTCTCCAACTACCACATGGAAATTATATCCAACAATTTGTCTGCCACCAAATGAACATCAAGATTCCTAATTCCAATTAAATAAGGCTCCCAGCAATAATGTATATGATCGACTTCTCTCTCTCTCTCTCTCTCAAAGTTGGTTGAACTCATCCAATCTTTGAACCAGAAAGTTCAATGATGTAATGATCCTCCTATTTGAAGTTCTACAATAATTTGCCTCGGACGTGGACCAATGGACATGATGAGAACACTTGTAGCCTGTGTATTTTTGGTTTCAATTAACCAGATACGTACCCCACCGGTTCCAATAACCAGATGCTGAACTTTTAGGTCCCCAGAATCGCTTTCCTAGATTGAAGTCATTGAACTAATATGTCGGCTGACACGATACACCACTGGGTCGCCGGTGCCTATCATTCCCGACTAGAGAGCAACCATCTGCCGGCTGGATTCAAGTTCAGCAGAACAAATAAATTTGCATAATCTGAATCTGTTCTCTTGGAGTGTCGAAAATCCTGGAAAACTGAAGCATACTGCACAGGGAAGACTTGGGAATTTACATTGATCTCCATTTACAATACACACCTCAAGCACAATAGAGTGCAAACGTGATTTACATCAACATCACCCAAAAAAGAGGGGGGAAGAGATGAAAGTAACCAGAAAATATACAAAATCTTTATGGTGCTCTTCACAACCGTTAATTCTCTTCAAATGTGCAATTGTAATAGTATCACATTATACATCAAACACGAAAAGAGCCCAAGGGAGAAGAGACAAACCAGCGTTGTTATGATATGGAATGCCTCCGATCCTTGCTAGGTTTGCTCCGAACTTTTGCATTTGAAGGGAAAAGTGCATCAGCACGAAGAAATGGATTAATCTTGCCCAGTTTTCTCGAGACAGAACTGATGAGTGATTTTCTAGGCAATGGAGGTTTCTCAGCAGAGGGAAGAGTGATAACCAAGGGACTGGCTGCATAGGATTTATCTGAAGATTTTTCAAGTTCTCGCAATCTTGTTCTCATTTTCACTAGTTCCAATTTCAGATCCTGATTTTCTTTTCGCAAGCTTGAGAGTTCTTGTGGAGCTGTGTGGCTGCCAGCAGGGTGCTGATTTACCTTGAGGGCAAGATTAGGGGTTTCACCTTCCGTGCCATCGACGGCCTCCCGAAGGCGTTGTTGCTCATAGTAAAGCACTTGAACGACAGTTTGAACCGGAAGTCGATCATTCTGAGCTGCATGAGCGCAGGCTTCCCTGGACAGCTTTTGACAGTCCATTACGCTGCAGACTTTCTTTCTCTCCATGTCACTTAATGCAGGATGAGCCTGAAAAATCCCCAGAACTCAACAATCTAAAGAGATTACTCCCAAAAATGTTCATCTGGTATGATGATTAGCAGAGACTAATGATACAAGTTATTTACTTATATTATGATACACATGTTCTTGGGTGGAATGGGCAGAAAAGCTTAAATTATGATAAACGTTTTCTTTAGTTTTTGAAATTCAAGACAGCAAGATTTTGTTAGCGTCTGCAATGGGTCAAAAAACAGTCGATGAGATGTGGCAGTGGGGACGAGTAAGCATTTGGGGAGTAGGTTAAACTATGATATTGGGTGTTACTAGATCTCTTTCCTCATTATTTGCCCCGTTGCATGGCTGAAGATTAATAATAAGCCCGACATGACATTTTCATGGTAATTTATGCTGCCTTGTATATCGCAAGGCATGCCTAGATGTGCACTTACTCTACAGCTCTTTGTTGGCCCTTTGCTTTTTGGTGGAAAAAATTGAAAACAGAGATTTCGACCGCAACCCTCCGTTCACATGAAAATAGTCATGTAAATTAGTCTCAACAAGTTTATTAACACAGTAAGGGAATTTCATGGATTTATGAACGATGCTGGAATGGAGGAGTATATTAAAAATAATCAGATTGATGATGGATTTTCCTTTTCTGCATTTTTCTCTCAATTATCTTTCCCTGCTCTATTTCCTTGTATCTCTTCCACTCTACATTGTTTGTCTGACGCGGTGATATTGAAGATTAAGGAGAGGTATAACCAAATTACTATCAGAGGTTCAGGCAGATGAATGCCAATCTGACTAACACACCTAACCGAATGAAATTCATCATGAAAGGATTTAACATTCAGGAGTTGCCATAAATAGCAACACGATATTTCCAATTCACTCACTTGTGAATCAGAAGATAAGACGAATCACGAATGCAAGTGTAGGGCTAGAACTGACATGAAAGTAATGAGAAATAAATTTAAGCACATCAACGTACAATTTTAGCTTGTAACCCATCACGGGACCAGCGGATATATAAATGCGAGAGCGCATACCTTTAAATAGATGTCAATTGCCCTATACATGCCATCTTCTGTGATTCTTGAACGTTCAGGTAAGAGTTCAGCAAGACCAACAAACTTCGAAACAGACAAGTTTCGATCAGAAGCGATTTCAGCAAGGTAATTCTCCATTAGCCTCCCTACTCTTTCCATGCCAGTAGGAGGAGAAAGAAGATCTTCATCTGCATTAAGTCCTGATCTGTGCCCCTCCATTTCATGATCTAGATAATTCATCATTATCCGCTGGACTGTCTCCACGTCGAATAGTGTGTCTCCAGTGAAAGAGTACGAGGGAATTAAGAGATCATCTAGCACAGCCTGTCCTAGTTGCAAAGCTATCCTCTTCTCCAAGTCAAGCCTGCAAGCAAACGTCGTTTCCAGATAAATTGCAGCCCTAAGCAGCATCGAGAGAAAGCTGACGGACAAGGAATGCTTCTCTCTCGGTAGAAGACTAACGATTGTTTCTAAAACAACCCTCTTCTCATGTTCTTGTCGCAGCTCAATTTTTTTCCTTCCCTTTCCAAATATTTCCTGTGGAGAAAAGTGAAGTCAATTACGTACATTTCTAATTAAGCCAAATAATCAAAATTTGTGGGGGTTTGAGATCTCACCAAACCTCGAAGTGATTTCTGCACATATAGCATCAGTATTGGACCAAGGGAATATTGTTTAAATCCCCTAGCCATCATCGCAATAAGCACCCGTTGGAACATATCAATTCTAAGGACAGTTAAATCCTCAGCCCACCAATCAACAATTGCTTTAGGTTGAAACACCATTGAGGAATTTATGCCATGGTTGCCACTGTCTGCCCTACCTGATGTAGCAAATTGGTTATCTTTGCAGGCTATATAAGCAATTGTGTCTATGCACCGGCTAACCAATTTTACTTCCTCTGCCACCGGAAGAAAACTTTCTGTGGAATGCAAAATGGAAACCGCACTTGCAAGGCTTTTGAGTGCCACTTCATTTAGGTAAGCTTCGGTTCTTCCAACTAGATTTCCAATAGCATAGTCCTCCGTCATCCCAAGATACTCAGCACCACATCTAAGCATGGCTATGTTTTCTGTACTTATCTCAAAATTTATTCCATAACAAAACTTTGCTGCAAGTTCAAACGCCTCTGCTCCACCAGGAATGTCAGGAACTTCAATTTCAGAAAGATCAGCATCATTGGATTCAGAGACCAATTTCCTTATGTATCCACACTTTGAGACCAGTGGGAACTGTACGGGATGTAAAGACAAGTTCTTTAATCTTAAAAGTAGAAAAAGATCAATGCTAAGTTGTTCCTACTCTCAGCACCTGATGTCTAAATTACATGTTTAATCAAATACACAAAAGCTAACAAGTCTCCAACCATGGCAACCGAATACATCCAGAGACTTCACAGAAAAAAGAACAAGCAGGCCGTCATAGAAATATATCATGAGCACAAC